GAGGAGGGGGCGGCGGGGGCGAGGGCCAAGCAGCAGGTACCGAAGGAGGAGGCTGCAGGTCGCCGGCCCAGACGGAGCCTCAGCAAGTCTCCTGCTCCATTCATAACGAGCAAATGCGCTGCAGCCGGCGCTGGCGTGATGGAGACGGGCCAAGAAGGGGCTGGGGGGGGGGGGGGGGGGGGGGGCGGGGCGAGCGGAATGTATGGCAATAATTAGCTTTTTTTGCAACTTGAACTGGTCTGTTAACATATCTTCACACCAAATACTGCAAATCACCTGAGGGAGCAGTCTTGAGGAGGAGGAGGATGTGAAAATCTGGACTGTAGTCCTCCCAGCCCCAGATACCGCCTTGGCCTACCTAAGAAATCCCCTCCGGTGTTACTGCTGCCACCACCGCTCACGGACGTGGACAGCAGTAAAATCGCTGACCCTCCGGGCAGCATTAGGAAAGCGACCAATAATCACGTTCTCAGCGGTGCTGCTGGTAGCTATAATGTTGAATCCAGGATCTATTCAGCTACTAACAGCCTTCCCCCGGGTGGAACCGTCTCCTCCCTTAGACTCAACCACTCCAATCATACGGGTTCAAATCATACCTACCTGAAAAACACCTACAAGAAGAATCTCTCGGAGCCCGAGGAGGAGCTTCTCCAACAGTTCAAAAGAGAGGAGGTATCCACCACTGGAGGCTTCAGTGCACATTACCTGTCCATGTTCCTCTTAACTGCTGCATGCTTGTTCTTTCTGATACTGGGATTCACATACCTGAGAATGAGAGGTTCTGGAGTAGCTGAGGATGTGGGAGTCAACAGTAAGTATTAGGCGAAGGGTAAGAGCAGTTTCTTTCTGCAACTGGATATGCAACTGTTAATTCACCTTTGCGTTCCCAGACATCCCTCACTGAGCAGTTCTGGCTTGGTATCTGTATAGGATGGAGCACAGAGAAATTGTCTTTCCTTGCAAGCTGGTATAATAAGCTTGCGAGACATTTGAGGATAAACTCAAATCTTGGCATTCCCTGCTGTAATCCATTGATACCTTGTTTTCTAGCATGTTTTCTTCACAAAGCAATTGTATGTGTTTCGTTCAATGTAGCAGATGTATGATTAATGGAGAATTGACGAGGTAAGGCTTTATGCTAATCTCACAGAAGCAATCAGGCACATTTTGATACCTGGGATTCCTGCAGGGCTAAGATTTGACTGTAGTTGTTTGGTAATAAAGCAGATTGTTTTCATTTATGTGTACTGAGGCTTGGAAAAGGATGCTAGGTTGAGGTGATGTTACAAGCAGACCATGTGCAGTGAATGCTGCACCTATTGTGTATTGTTTTTTAATAAGTACTTCTTTCTAAATTTAGTTGAGAGTATGATTATATATGAAATGCTGTTATGCTTTAGTTTGAATTTCAGAGCTTTTTTTTTTTTTTTATCCTGAATTACTTGGGAGCTTCTTTAATACGTGAAAGTTACTTCTCGGAATGGATTTAGAAACTACCATTTTCTATTCACAAAGCACATGAAAATGGAAACGTACCACCTCAGGGTGGTGATTCATGCTAATTAAATTCTTGGCTGTTTTGAAATGGGCAGTGATGATTCTAACGTCAGAAAGAAAAATCATGCCATTGGTGTCTTATTTTTCATTGCTCCTTGATGAGAAATTTATGGAAAAAGCTAGTTTTGGGACATGAGAACATTAGAAGGTCCTTGGGAACTTGGGTTTTTCTTGAAATGATTGAGGAAGGTGTGTGGGGTGTATACATGTACATGTATTTCTTTGCATAGATAGTAGAGGATTTATATACTCGTGTGTGGGCACGTATGCAGTTCCTTGAAAGGAGCAATCCCACTGTTAGATTGGGATCTGCTAGATGCTACAGGGCAGAAATAGTGGTGTGGGATGTTTTTGGGTTGGGTTTTTTTTTCTTCATTTTCCCCGCCCCCCCCAACGTTATTCATTACATTATGGGAGTATAATAGTTCTTAATTCTGTTTTATGCTCTTTTACAGGGCGGAGTAAAGGATTTAGTATTTAGGAAGGACAGTAGCAGCAAGGATTTAAGCATTTGCAGGGGTTTTGTTGCTGTCCACGTGGCTCTTAACTACTGTTCAGTCTTATTTTTTGGAAAGGCAGTAAACACATGCAGGTGGGCTAAAATTAGATAGAATATAGTGTGACTGTTGGGACTACTCATTCTATTCTGTGGTTAACTTCTGGACTACTACTTCTAATTGCTAGAGATATACATAAATTTTCTTATGTACTGATAAGCTGTGTAATTCTACTAACATATTAGATTTTTTTTTTTCTGATGATTTTTAATAGAGGAGAAGGTCTGTCAGCCTACTGGGGTAAACTTTCTGACTGTCAAATTCAGTGGTCGAGTTAAAACTTGCCCGCCCTGCTGACTGATAAAGCTGAATGTCTCAGCTATGCAGATAGCAATAATACCATGAATCACTCTAAACCTTTTGTCGCATAAGAAAACTTTGTTTTGAAATGGTGAACTTTCCTGTAGAGCATGTAGGATTGCTGTGTGTTGAGTGTATTGCTCTTAAAAAGTTAACCTAGCTGGAACTGATACACAGGGAAAATTGTTCTCTCCTGCCCTTTTGCTTAGCCTAGGTTGCCCAGCCAAAGGTCTGGTAGCTCAGTGTCTCTTGACGGTTCAATTAAGCCAATTCTTGGCCTGTTCCTATTTGTTCTCTTCTCGGTGGAACTCCTGAAAGTGGATTTCCTGAAGAACTGTTCTGGCAGGAGCACTCACATTTCATCTGTCCTCCTTCCTCACAGCCCTGGGCTTTGCAACATAACAAATGGGAATAGGGCCCACTGGAAGAAGCGAAGAACAGGTTTTGTGGCTAGCTCCTTTGATAGGAAGAGGAGCAGGCCGCTTCTTTTAAGTAATGTGGGAATGAGGAGGGAATTACCTTGCCCATGTGCTCAGCACATGCTCACTAAATTCTTACTTCTCAAATGGGCATATGCAATGGAAATATGGTAGGTCTGTAGAACAGACAAGATGGGCCAATAAAGACTGATTGCTACTGGGAAGGGAAAGAAACCTGTCATCTATTAGATGCTTCCCTAAGCTTAAACATCATCTGAGTGAGTCCTTTGGCTCTTACACTTGTGTGGGTGTATTGTCTGTTTTCTTTATAGAAGCAGAACTGATTCGTACATTTTTATTAAAAAATAATAGTGTATTTCAAGAAGCAACCTTTCAGATTGTTCTGTCTTTCAGATGGCTGTAGGTAATATTCTGTTGGCTCTGAGTGATTTGACTGTGAAAAACTCAGGTTTTTTTCAACTTCAAACTTTTATCATAAAAGGCTTTAGGATTAAGTGCAGTTGCACTGTACCTATCTCCATAATTATTACAGTTACTGTAAGGGGACAAAAAAAGGCAGTTATTTATATATTTGGGTGGCTTCTTATTTTAACTTTGCAGGGAACAATGCACAATGAGCTTTAATGTTCATTGTCATAGTTGTTCATTACCTAAAATGAAATTCAATCAAAATAAAGTGGTTATGTGTGTGACATTGAAGAATGTTTATCACCAAGTACACCCAATAGCAGCACTTACCATATTTGTCAGGCTGTAATCTGAGTACAGAGGTGCGTGTAATGGGGGAGGCTTAAAACTAGGTTTTGGGGTTGAAATTAGGCCAGGTAAAATGATATAGGTTAGAAGTGGTAAGCAGAAAACTTCAGAAGAGGATTGTTGCTTGTATCATGCATAATGTTAAAATGACTTCTTATTCAGAACTCTAAAATAGCTATGAAGTACTTTAGTTTTTTCACATGTGACATGAAATGTTCAAAGACAAATCAGAATTGGGCTAATTTTTGTGTCTAACCTACATATGGTCACTTGAGGTAAGGTTTTTATGCATTTAGCTGTCTAAAATGCAGACAAATATCTGTGGGACTTTTCCTAAAGCATCTTAAGCCATTGAAATGAAAATACTCTTTAAGGTTACGTAAAAGACCAACTAATGCATAAGCGCATATTGTGCTTGCTCTCTGACAGAGTTGTATGTGAAAAGAAAGATCAGTCTGGGCTTGGTGCTGGTGACCTCATTCACGTCCCTCTTGCTGTAAAGCATGTTTTGCTTGCACCTGCCTTCAGAATACCATGGAATTGTATCAACTTCTTGCCAAGCCAGCCTTTTTGTCAGGAATATGGTAGAATTAACTTTTGTCTACTTCCTAGGGTTCTTCAAACCCTGAAGAGCTGGGTATCTCTTCCAACTACTTTGGTTTTGTTTTGTGATGTTACTCTGAGCATCTCAAGTGGCTGCTCCTAGGACTTAGTTCTGAAGTTATTTTTCATGGGAAGTTGAAAAATGTGTCAGATCAGTAGATGTTGCTTTCAGGTCTGGTTTGCTTTCTGAAAGGTGAAGGTGCTAGTACAGGTGCTGTTTAAGGTTGTAATCTGAAATAGGTTGTATTAAATTACTCTCCCTGTTTCTGCTCCAGTATTTTGCCTGGGGAGGGGTTGATGTAGCAAAAAAACAACAAAAAGTAATCTTGAAACTTTCAGGTAGGTCTAGTTTAATATCTTATGTTCTTACTAGGAGAGGCTTTTGAAAGTGACATCTCTTGCTAGTAATTTTGGTCTTTCTATGATACTTGTTACAAAACAACTGCTAGGAGGATAATCCTTACTATATTTGCTACAATTTGTGTTTTTGAAATGTTAATTTGGGGAGACTTAGTAGTTGTGTATATTGCAAGTGGAAGCTTATGCAAATGACAGTTCTAAGAGTTTAATTCTATTCCATTGACATTCCTTTGTTCTTGACTTCTAAATCTCTCAGGCGCTAAAACTTCTATGGAATTTTATGCAGGAATTTTATTGTTAAGAAGTTAGACTTGCTGTATAAAAGGCAAGAAGGTGACTTACATTCACAGGCCTGCAAATTACTATTAAAGTGCTGTGGTATTTCACAGATAACTGTTACAAATCTACTTGCCTTCTAAGATCACCTTCTCAGAAGTCTATCTTCTTGACAGTGTTGGGCTTCAATGGAGGAAAATTAATTTTGGATAAGAAACATTTATAGAAGAGAAGCTAGTAAAGGGAGGAAGCAAAATCAAAAGATTTGGGGAGTTCCTGTGTTATGTGGCTATTAATGTTGCTTGTGCTTTGCAAGTGATACTCTGAATTGTATTTGACAACGTAGCAACTTTTCTTGACATGTTGGTATGTAGTTCTGGCTCACTTTCTGTATATTGCTTTAAACTCTAGTTACCAAGTATTTCTCTTTTAGGTGATACAAAAGAAAATCCTGATGTGCATCTTGAAGACTAATCTCTCTTGCAGCTGATCTCTCTTCTGTGGTTTGATGAGTTTTGGATTAAGATCAGTAGATCAAAAAAACCCTAGACTGCCTCCATAAGGTAAAGCCAGGCAGAATAGTTAAATTTCTTTAGGATTCTTGAGATTTTTAAACTTTAGTCTTCCTTATGGTATATAAAAAAATAACTGTTAAAAATGAGGAACAAATTCGGCCAAGGCTTGTACCCAGGCAAGTCCAAATAGTTGTTACATAGTGCAAAATAGGTAATCTTAGCTGACAACTTTAAATCCTACCTGAAGGATGATAAACAGTCTGGTTACCTTTGCAGCAGATCTATAATATAAAGTAAAAATATGAAAATTGTTCATCAGAGTTTGAAAGAAAAAGGATGCAATTTCAGAATGTGTTTTTTTTTTTAAGGAGGTAGCTGTGTTTGATACTTTGTTCAGAATACTTACAACTAATTTATTTGGCATTCATACCTCAAACGTGCTGCTGT